GCTTGTGTCCTGGACGGTGGTGTCGGGGCAAGTCAACGGCGACCGCTACGCTGGACGTCGCGTCCGCGTGGCCAGAGATTGCGTCGGGGCCGACATGCTGGAGTTTATCGACGGACGAGGTCAACCGCGGGCGGGCGGAGAAGGGGGGGCGCCGCTTCCCCCGATCGGGAGGGCGGAGTTGCAGTCGGCGGTGGGCTCCCTGCGCTGGCTAGCCGGACAGTGCCGGCTGGGCACGGCCTTCTAAGCCAACGGATTTCAAAAGCACCAGATGCGGACCTGCGGGAGTCGAACACATGTATCCCGGGCGCCAAAGCCAGTCGCGACGTCTGCCTGGGGATTGTCTCGATCAAGGGCCGCATCGGAGTGGTGTGCTGGTGTGGCTCCCCCCTCCGCGGCAACGTCAGCGCGCTGCTGGATGCGGAGAGGTGGCGCGGTCAGCGAGAGACCCAGGAAGCCGCGCAGAGGCGGTGCCTCCACGCCCGCAGCGGGCCAGTTTGTCTCGGGGGCACCCCCTGGGAGCTGCTGGGGCACAACGCGTGCCGCCTGTGCTCCTACGAGGGGCACCGGTGCAATCAGCGCCCGCGTCCCTTTGCCGATGGCACCTCGAAGGGCGGGCGCCCGGGCTGCCCAGGGGCGGGCGGTGCCGCCGGCGGCGTCGGCCAGCGGCGCGGGGAGGGGGCGGCGTTCCCCCGGCCAGGCGCGAGCGGCGCGCTCGACGTCGCGCATGTTGCCTTCTATTAACCCAATCCTCCTGTGGAGGACATCGCGGAGCGGAGTCTCCATGGGGCGCTTCTGTCTTCTGGCAGCGCGGTGCGAAGATCCCGCAGACGGCTGAGCCCGGCCCTCGTCGTCCTCCGGTGGGGGACTTTCGGGGCAGCGATCCCGCGGCGCGTCCGTCCGTGTCTCGCTGCCGCCTCCGGGGGAGGTCGGTCCCCTGAGCTCTGCTCTGGTGCCTCTGGTGGGGGGCCTTTTTTTTCTTGGGGCGGGGATCCCGCGTGATCTGATCAACAGATCATGCGCCTCCAAAGGAGGCCCGTGCTTTTTTCTCAGCGCCCGCCCGCCCGCCGCGCGGGCGGGCGGAGTGCTGGAAGGGCGAGGGGGGGGGAACAGGAGAGTGGCAGCGTTGAAGTTCACTGCTGCCACTTCCGCCCACCTCCCTTCCTGGCGCCGCTTTCTGCTGCGATCCTTCCCGACGCTGGGGCGGAGGGAGGGCTTGGCCTTGGCCTCTTCTGAATTGCCTGCAGCAAGGCAGAACCGTTCGTGGTGCAAAAAGCACTAAGGAGCAGTGATCAATGCGCCCTCCTACATTGCGAGCCGCCAAGCTCCCCTCCCCCCGCCCCCCCGCCCCCCCCCCCCCCCAAACATTACTGGCGCCCGAGCCTCGGCAAGTTCGGCGGTCGTCTATTGGGAGCTATTGGCAGCCTCGGCAAGTTCGCCGCTATTGGGAGCCAAAACCGACCCCATGTGCGCGACGTTTGGGCGAGGTGCGCCGCGCGCGCCAGGCGCGCCGCGCGCGCCAGGCACCCCTGGGGCCCCAGCATGCCAGGTGCGCCTGGTGCGCCAGATGCGCCGCGTGCTCCGCGTGCTCCAGGTGCGCCGCATACTTCAGCCGCGCCAGGGGCGCCACGTTCGGGGCGCGCGCAGACGGTGTGAGGTGCGCTTGCGCACGTGACAGCACGCAGCGGGAAACATGTCGGCCCCCGCCATCCTGGTCGAAACCCAATTTCCATCATTGTATCTGGTGGGCCTGCGCGCGCCGGGCCACGCGCCGCCGCCCTCCCGCCCTTGTCAACGACCGCTTGACAGTGATCGCGGGATGGCCGCGCGCGATCCAGAATTAGCCGCGAGGTGCATCGTGTATTTTGTTCGTGGGTCAAGGATGGCAGTCGTGCGCGCGGCGGGCAATGTGCGACCCCCCCCCCCCCCGTCCTTTCCAACGAAAAATCCACAGTGCTCGTGGGCCTCGCGAGCATGACCCATGACTTTGCCTCAACATGTGTTGTGTATTGCTTTTTGGTTGGGTTTGTGGGGCGGGTGGGTGGGGGGGGCGCGTCGGGTTGGCCGCGCGTGCTCCAAATGTGGGGGAACATGCGTTTTGTATGGTTTTCGTTGACAGAGGTGGTGGGGCGGGTGGGTGGGCATGTTGCCCCATGATGCCTGGTTGGCTGCCGACCGCCTCGCGGAGGGGCGCGCGGCAGGGAACCGCTTCAAACCCTTCCCCAGGGCAGGGGGGGGGGGCTTGTAGAAAGAGAAAGGGCAACATCCGTTTGACCGCCTGCGCCCAGAGGTGCCAGGTCCACTGCTCGCGAAATCATCCTACCCACCCGCCCGCGACATGGCTTGCGGCGGCGATTGCCATGAGTGCGTGGTGATGGCTGGTGCGTCTGCGGCCGCGCTAGCCCGCGCGTGCTCGCGCGCGCAGCGGCCGGCTTGTTTGGCCCGACCGACGCAGCCGCGGTGGCGATGGCCTCTGGGCAACTCCTTGCGCACGCTTCAGTGCGAGTCGGTGGCTTGGGTGGGCGCGGTGTCATGGCGACGCCGACAACGGTAGACGCGATGATACTAGTAGCGGTGATGGTGGCGATGGTGACGATGGCGACGGCGAGGCCAACGACAGCGCCGATGCTGATCGCGCTAGTGACGACGACGATGTTTTCGCGTCGGTAACGAGAAAGTTTTTGAACGAGTTCGACATGCGCGCGTGGCCGGCGCAGGCGGGCGGCCCGCATGGTGTTATTTGACAGGGGTCGTGCCCCCCCCTCCCAGCACTCGCGTAAGCGCGTTCAGGCGCGTTCGAGCGATTTTGACATGCGGCGCGAGAGGCCCCAGTGGTCGCATTTCGTGAGACTGTCAAGAAAACTCATGGTGTACGTCGGAATTCGCAAGGGCGCGCGCGCCTATGTTCTTCGAAAACTGACGCTGCAGAGCCATATGCGTTTCCATGTTTTCTGGGCCTTCGGTGTTGAACTCCTTGCGACAGGCATTCTAGAGGATTTTGGCGCGCGCGCGACGACGCGCGCCTGTGCACTTCGTCGCGTTTTATGCCAGGGAGTCTTGTGGCAGTGCGCGCGAAACGGCGTTCGAACGATTGCGCGCGCGAGGGGTGCCGCTGGTAGCAGGTGATGCCATGTTGAACAATCTTAAAGTTCGCGAGATCGCGAACGCATGCCTTTATTGAAAACTCTTGTTGCGAAGCCATTGTCTTCATATATTGTCGAGGCGCTCGATTTTGAATTCCTTACGACGCCGCCGGTTTTTCAGACGATTCGGGCATGCGCGTGCGACGGCGCGCGCGCGTGCACTTCGTCCCGGTTCTTTGAGTCGATTATTGGAAACTGTCTTTTTCTTGATGAAAGAAACGCCCGCGTGCTATTTTCTGATGAGGATGAAGGGTTGGGGCGATGAGCGTTTGATTGGAGATGGTCTGCGTTCATTTTTCGGCTGGGCCAGTGTGCAGAACCATATGCAAATTTCAATGCAAAAAGCGGGCCGTTGAGTCTGGGGCGGGAATCAAGACGTGGATAATCTAAGCCACGCGACGCAGCGCAATGCAAAGCAAAACGATGCAAATCAATACAGAAAGCAATGCGGTGCAAATCGCTGTAATTCGAAACAGTGCCAAGCAACGCAACTCAACGCACACTAACGCAACGCAGCGCACAATGCACGTACATGCAACACAATGCCATGCAACGCGCCGCAAGGCAACGCAAAACAAGGCAAAGGAACGCAATGCAGACCAATAGTGATACCAATACCAGGAAGCAAACAATTATGAATCCGAATGCCAATAATACCCAAGAGTATGAACACGAAGCATATAACTAGTCATTATACTAGTAACACTGGGAACAATATTAATGTCGTACGAAGAAGAATGTGATTGATCATACGAAGAATAGCAATAATACGAAAACGAATAATACTATCATTATTAATTGGGATCGAATTGAAAAGAATAATCATGTAATCTTGATAAGATTAGTGATACGGAATCTCACGAATAAAAGTACGAACCAGGAACCGAGTAATAATACCATGAAGAATAACGGTAAGAAGAGTCAGACGCGTAATATTGATGTTCTTATTAGTATATTCATAGTAATATTACCAATGCGAATAATACTGATTATATTAATGATATTAAATCTAATAACGTTAGTAGTAGTATTATTATTAGTAGTAGTAGTAGTAGTAGTAGTAGTAGTAGTAGTAGTAGTAGTAGTAGTAGTAGTAGTAGTAGCAGTATTAGTATTAGTAGTAGTAGTAGTAGTAGTAGTAGTAGTAGTAGTAGTAGTAGTAGTAGTAGTAGTAGTAGTAGTAGTAGTAGTAGTAGTAGTAGTAGTAGTAGTAGTAGTAGTAGTAGTAGTAGTAGTAGTAGTAGTAGTAGTAGTAGTAGTAGTAGTAGTAGTAGTAAGTAGTAGTAATAATAATGATGATGATAATAGTAAGAAGAATACGGCGAATGATAATGATACTGATAATGCTAATGCTAATAGTAATTCTAGTAATCATATCACCGATAGTAATACTACTAGTAATAATATTATTAACCATATTAATAATAACAATACTACCTCCAATAATAATGATGCGAGTAAGAATGCGAATGCCAATAATCGTTATACTAATAATTATATTAATATTAATAGTACTAATAATAATAATGATAATAATAATAATATCCATAATAATAATAATAAACTAATAATAATAGCAATAATAGTAATAATCATAACAATCATCATAATAATCAAAATAATACGAATGATAAGAATGAAATGAAGAAGAGGATAATAAGCAGGATGAGGAGGAGGAGGAGGAGGAGGAGGAGGAGGAGGAGGAGGAAGAGGGGGAGGAGGAGAAGGAGGAGGAGGAGGAGGAGGAGGAGGAGGAGGAGTTGGAGAAGAAGAAACAGGAGGAGGATGGAGGAGGAGAAACATGAACTGGAACTGGAACGGGAGCCGGAGGAGCAAGAGGAGGAGGGCTCACGCCCGCAGGCCACGACCTCCAGGGGAACCGCCTTCAGAAGCTGGTGCCCGCCGCTGACGTCAAGGCCAGCTTGGTCCTTGTGGGGGTCACACGTCGCTCTCCACTCGCAGCGCAGACGCGGGGGGAGGCTTCCCTCCGCCGGGTCCTGCTGAGGTCCAGGAAGGTTCCTGGCAAGGTCCTGGTGGGGTCCTGGCAGGGCCTTGGCAACGCCTTGGTGGTGTCCTCCCCCTCCCCATCCCCTCCCCCCTTCCGCTCTCTTACCGCCCCTCCCCCTTCATTCGGCGGAGTCCAAAATCAAAGCCCAATCCCCCCCCCTCTCTCGCTTCCCCTCGGCCTCCCACTCTGCCCTGTCTCTCTCTCTCTATCTCTATCTCCCCATCCTTTTGCTCTCTCTCTCTCTCTCTCTCTCTTTTTTTTTTTTTTTTTTTTTTCTCTCTCTCTCTCTCTCTCCCTCCTCTCTCTCTCTCCACTTCCTGCCTCTCCACTTCTTCCCCCTCCTCCACTCATCTCAACCTTCTTCTCTATCATCCTCTGGATCCCCGGATGGCTGGACAAGGGCACCTCGAGCGCCTCCCACACCGTGCGCAATTGCACTGGGACGTGGCCTCGCGTCGTCCCTTCCCGTCCCGTCCCGTCCCGTCCCGTCTCGTGTCGTCCTGACTGGTCGGTCGTCGTCGGCGGCGGCGGTGGCGTCGTAGTCGTCGTCGGTGTCGCCTCCCATCACCTCGCCCCTGCACGTGCTGTGCAGTCCGGCTGCCAAGCCGCGCCCAGTGCGGCCAGGCCAGATCGTCGGTCTGCCCGCCCGCCCGCCCGTTCTGCGTGTCTGCAGGGGGAAGAGCAGGGGGAGGAGGAGGGGGAGGAGGAGGAGGAGGAGGAGGAGGAGGAGGAGGAGGAAGAAGAGGAGGAGGAGGAAGAGGATTCCAGCGATTCCAGCAAACAGGGGTAGCACGAGTGCAGCTCGGGCCCTGGCACCAGTGAGTTACGGGGTTGGGAAGATCATGCCGTGCTTTGGGGGCTTACCTTCCGCCAGCCTGGCAAGGTTGCGCCTGCCAGTCGAAGACGGTTCAGGGGTGCAGGACTGGGCCAGCTTCTGTGCAATGTTTACCGCAACGCTCCCACAGCACCGACAAAACAGAACACTATTGAATTCAGCCAGAACGTGCGTCGGATGCGCACGACTGAAACACGGATGTCCTCAATGATGATTCCCCAGGCTCGGGCCCGCAGCCGACGCGAAGCCCAACCCAGCCGACGTAGAAGATTCAAGCAGAAGCGCCCAAGGTCACAGACGGGGCCAGAAACTAGTAAGCTCACTTCGGACAGCAGGGAATTTACAGGCAACGCGAACATTTCAAAGAGCCACCAACTTCGGAGATTGCATGAGCTTGCTCGGCTAGCCTCTGCTTCCGAAGATTCATCGAGCTGGGTCTCTCTCCTTATGTTGCCCTCTGCCTAAACGGTCCTCGTGCGCTCTCTGGCACGCGAGGAAAGTATGCCCGGATACATTAAGGAGCCTCTTCATCACAGAGAGGCGGTTCTCATCTACATTACTCATTCTACCAATGTTCTCTTCTGGCAGGGCCCTCCACTTGGCAGCTTCCACCACATAGTGATCAGCTACACCGTTGGGTGGTAACCTGCTTGAAAGACGTGTGGCTCTTGCACCAGTGGACCGCTAACTTGCCAGTCCTGCAGTTCAGAAGGTCCCAAGCCTGCTGCCACAGATTTGCATGGACGAGCGCTCAACTGAAACACCCTTCGCGGGCAAAGCCTTGGCGGAGGAGGAGGCGGAGGAGGAGGAGGAGGAGGAGGAGTAGGCGGAGTGGAGGAGGGGAAGGATGAAGCTTCTTTAAGGGGTGACCCGACCCGCCGCTCTGCTGCGCCTTCCCCCCCTCCCCGCGCGACCTCCCTCTTTGCGCACCTCCGCGCCCCTTCTCATAGTCCTGCCAGCCCGTGCCCGCCCGCCAGCCAGCCCATCCAACCGCCTGCCCGCCCCGCCCTGGCTCCGCCCCGGCCCCGCCCTCTCAGCTCCCCCCAGGGTTGAGAAGGAAGAGTAAACATGTGTGAGTCTGTGCGCGTCCATGCCAACCCCCCTCCTCCTCCACCTCCACCTCCTCCTCCTCCTCCTCCTCGTCCTCCTCCTCCTCCACTCTCACAATATGAATATTATGTTCCTATCTCCGCGGACTCTGTCCGGAGAGTGTCCCGTCCTCTCCGCGTATTGTTTTTTACTCAGGACTTCAGTAGTTGTTTTTCTTTGCGTTTTTTTCACCGGGTCGTTTCCGGTTCTTCCACAATTGTGTTCCCGCTGCAGCGCCGCTCTCGTGTCCGCGCGTCGGTCATTCAAGACTGTGCTCCCGCTGCAGCGCTAGCCTCGTTCGCGCGCCTCCCGTTGTTCCAAATCGTGTTCCCGCAGCAGCACTGGCGTGTTTGGTCCTTCCACGTAGCGCTGCCGCTGTAGCGCTGGCCTCGTTCCAGTGCTGCGGTCCTTTCACATCGTGCTCCCGCTGCAGTGGTGGCCTCATTCCCGTTTTCGGTCCTGGCCTCGTTCCCGCGCTCCAGTTCTTCTAAATCGTGCTCCCGCTGCAGCGCCGGTACATTTCCGACTGTGCAAATGAGATATCCACGTCATCGTAAGGATGGGAGGGAGGGGTAGGACGTCAGATGTGACGCTAGCGCACCTAGCTTGTCCTCCTCCCCCTCCCCCTCCTCCTCCTCCCCCTCCTCCTCCTCATCCTCCTCCTCTTCCTCCCCATACTTTGCTTTCTGCGGCGCTTGCTGCCCGTGGCCCTTGCGTGGGTGAGGGGTGCAGCAGCCTTGAAATCCGGCGTTGCAAAACAGTGCAACATCGCAAAGACCACGACCAGAGCCCTGGACCCCGTCATTCTGCATCATTCTTCGAGCCTGATCGACCCGTGAGGGTCCCCAGAGCCCGACGCCGGGCGAAAGCGCCCTTTGTGAAGCCATTGCGACGCGAGGATCAGAGGGAACGTGCAGAGCGTCGTGCAACAGACGAGATGCTGGGGCGGGGCCCCCGCCCCGGCCCTGCGCCGCCCCGCATCGTGACCCGCGCCCGTGCCGTGAGCCGCGACGCAGGCCGCGCCGCGCCGTGGGCCGAGCCGTGCACCGCTGTGACCCGCGCCGTGCGCCGTCGGTCCGTCCGCTCCCCGCCGCGCGAGACGGACGTCATCCCCGCCGCGGCGGCGGCGGGCACGCCAGCAGCGGTGGCGCTCGCAGGCGGAGCGCCCGCGGATGCAGCATGAGGAGGTGAGGAAGGGGCGATGGAGGGGCGAGGGAGGGATGAGGGAGGGGGGAGGGAGGAAGGCAGGAAGGGAGGAAGGGAGGGAAGGAGGGAGGGGGAGGAAGAGGAGGAGGGGTGTGGTGAAGGAGCGAGGGGTGGAGGGAGGGAGGGAGGGAGGGAGGAGGGGGAGGAGGAGGCGGAGGAGGAGGAGGAGGAGGATGAAGAAGATGAAGGTGGCGATGATAATGGTGATGATGATGCTGCTTCTGCTGATGATGCTGACGCTGATGATGATGGTGGTGGTGGTGTTGATGATGGTACTCATGATGGTGGTGGTGGTGGTGTTGATGATGGTACTCATGATGATGGTGGTGGTGGTCATGATGTTGGTGGTGGTGGTGACTGTACTGCTGATGACGATGATGATGGTGATACTGATGCTGATGATGATGACGATGGCGATTATGATGATGACGATGCTGATGTTGGTGATGATGATGCTGAAGATGATGAATATGATGCTGATGATGCTGATGACGATTCTGATGCTGATGATTGTGATGATGATGATGGCGGGGATGCTGATGATGATGGGACTGGTGATGCTGCTGATGATGCTGATGGTGATGCTGATGATGATGTTGATGACGATTATGATGATGCTGTTGGTGATGATGCTGATTTTGATTATGCTGATGATGATGATGATGATGATGCTGATGCTGATGGTGGTGATGATGATGATGACGATGATGATGACGATGATGATGATGATGATGATGATGATGATGATGATGATGATGATGATGATGATGCTGCTGATGATGATGATGATGATGATGCTGATGCTGATGATGATGATGATGATGATGATGATGATGATGATGATGATGGTGGTGGTGGTGGTGGTGATGATGGTGATGGTGATGGTGATGGTGATGGTGATGATGATGATGATGATGATGCTGCTGATGCTGATGATGATGATGATGATGGTGGTGGTGGTGGTGGTGGTGGTGATGATGATGATGATGATGATGATGATGATGGTAATGATGATAGTGGGATCGCTCACTGTCGTTAGACAGCATGCGATCCCCCAAGCTTGTTTACCAACATTTGCACCCGAAAAGTCCAGAACTTTGGGCACGCGGTGGGCCTTCAGGTGATGGCAACATTGTTTTGTCTGCGCCGTTGCAAAGAGTTGAGTTTTCTTACCAGAAATGGGAGTTCGTCACTGATTGCGCGTTTGCAGCTTCGCTCACGATGCCAGGACTCTGCGTGCATCTTTCTGGCGCGCCAGACTGCTGCGTCGTTGCATCGTGTGAGACTCGGATGTGGGAGGTGTTCAGCCCCGCGAGCCAGAGGGAGATGGAAACGCACATTCACTTGTGGGCTGCGCAGGGGGCAGGCTGATGAGGAGGAGGATGATGATGATGCTGATGATGCTGCTTGTTGCAGCACTCCTGTTTCGTTGACTAGGTTTAGCAATCAGAGAATATATGCACAGTGCTTGTCCGTTTCGCACCCTGGCTCAAGGCAAAAAGCATTTGCTGACCTCTCGTGCCACAATTGGTAGCGGAACGGGGGTTGCCAGGTGACCGTGGGCGTTGGGGCCGGCCGATAGTCGGCGGCGACTCGCGCTTGCGTGCCTCTTGCGAGCCCCGCTCGACTCCGCGTGGGCGGCGTGGGACCCACAGCAGTCGTCATGCCGGAAGAGCGAAGACACTAGAGACGGGCATGTGCGCCGACGGAGGCGACGATGCAGCGGCCACGCCCGGGGCCGGCACGGCGGCCGCGCGAAGTGCGGCCCCAGCGGGCGGCACGGCGGCTGGCATGGCCGAGGCCCCAGGCGGCAGCGCCTGCGGGCCCGGCGGCCGCCGCCCCTGGCACGACGGCGGGGGAGCAAAGGGAGATGATCCGCTGCACAGTCCGAGAGTCAATGGGGTCCAGGGGCTCCTCCCCGCTGCCACGGGCGATGGCGACGACGAGTGGCAGACCACCGACGGCCCCTGGGCGCTCGGCCGGCGACACGATCGTGGTCAGCCGAGCGGTGGAGCAGCAGGAGAGGATCGGGATCGTCGGGGTCGTTGGCAGCGAGATGACGCCGACTTCCGGGACCCGATCGCCGCCTCCAAGTCCTGGCAGACAAACGACAAGTGGGAGAGCACCCGCTGGTACGGCGGCTGGGGCGACCGCGGCGGTGGCGGGTCCTGGAGCAATGGCGGGGCCAGAGGAGACAATTTTCCCTCGTGGCCTGGCTGGAGTCATGATCGTCGGTGGAAGAGATCGATCAAGCGATGGAACATCATCGCGGACGTGTTGGTTTGGCGCCGACCGGAGAAGTTTGCGAAGCTCTTCGAGTATAGTTCCCAGGCCAAGTACGACGACACTGGCGACTACGGGCTGACTTCGGAGAAGTGGTTGGACATGCTCCTGGCCAGGACGGACACGATGATTGGCGAGAGAGAGGGCGACGAGTTACGACGGGCCGGCAGGCGGGAGTTTTTCGAGGCAGCTCGCGGGCCCAAGGAATCTTGACGCAGTTCGCGAGTCGACGCGACGCTCAGATGTTAGAGAGCGAAGGTGAGGATTTGTGGATGTCCAGCAAACTGAATGGCCTCCTGTTGGAGGAGGGTGCAAGTCTCACGGGTCATGGCACCCAGAATCTGAGGACCCTCGCTCAGGGCCAGCTTGATTTCGATAGCCTGGCGTGGGCCCTCAGGCAGATGGATGCTTGCGGTGCCGAGCGACTCCTTCTCGGCGAGCCTGGGCCCGGGGTCGCGCTGGCCTCATCTCGCGAGGGCCGCGATCCCAGTGCCGAATCGTCTAGTGCGGGTCCTTTTCCTCCTCTCCCTGTCCCTGCGCCCAGTCGGGTTCAGGTCGGTGGCCAGGTTGGCGAAGAGGACAGCTGCCGCGACGACTAACTAAGACCGACGACAACGACGATATCGAGGCGCTGCTGGCCGAGATCGAGGATCTCGACGTGGGCGAGGACTGGTTCGAGGAGGCTCTCGCGATGATCGGGGCTTGCAACAATCGCGCGGTGAATCATAATGTGGGCTTTAAGCTCGCGGGCAAGCGAGATCAGAAGTATTCCAGCGCGAAGCCCAAGCAGAGCCATGACAGATCTCGCCAGTCGAAGCTTCGCCATCCTGAAGGAGGTCCTGGACGGCCCGAACGAGCAAGACGCGACTACAGAGACGGCAGTCGGCCCACCCAAAAGCAGCCGATGCGCTGCAATATCTGCATCGAGAGGGGCCACGTGAAGAGGGAGTGCCCCAATCGCGACAAAGTTTGGGCATGGGCGTTTTCGGGCGGCGAGCCGGCGGAGTGGGGCGCCGAGGGATCTCGGGCGACGTCTTGGGGCGACCTCCAGCGGCGCGTCGGGCTTCGTGCTCGGCGGCATGGTCTCGTTCGGCGGGGTCTCTTGCAGCGCGGGCGCGTCGGGCGGCGCCGAGGCGCCCGCGCGGGCGGGCGGCAGGGGCGCAGCGGTCGGGGAGATCGCGGATTGCGGCATCTACGCTACCTCGCGGCCTCGGCCGCTCAGGCCCGGGTCGGCCCGGGAGCTCGCGGCGACCTGGTCTGGTGGCGGGCGCTCGGTCGAGAGTCGGCGTCTGCCCTGGCAGTGTCTGCCCCGGGCCCCAGTGCGTATATCTTGCTCTTCTTGCAGGTTACCGTGTATGTTAAGATGCAGCGTGGCATTGCCGACGTTGGAAACGCCTCTTGCCAGTCTGATAGAATGCAGCGCGCCCGGGGCGAGATGTGCGCCGAGCCGCGCGAGGGTATCAATCTTCCCGGCGGGCCCCTCGTGCGGGCGCTAGCTAGTGCGCGCTGACGGTCTAGGCGATGCCCCCATGGTTTGGAGACGAGCACTGGTCAAGCACATTGGTCAGTACTGTTTCGTGAGATCGCTCCTGAGGCATTTCGCGTCGTCAGCAAATGGCATGGGCCGCGTCGCAGATAGACAGATAGCAATGCAATGCAGCGCGGGTGGGGGCAACTCGCCGCCGCGACTCTAGCGCAAAGTGGAGTGCCCTAAGGGTCCGACGCAGCGCCGCGGATCAAATCCTCGCGCCCGTGTCCGGGAATCCCTTTGTCGCGCCGTCTGGGCCCCCCAGCGGCCTGATGAAGCGCACCGCAGAGGGCGAGGGTACTGCTTCCTGGGCGATGCTCGAGAACGTGCTTCAAACATCGAGAAACGAAGGCGTGAAAGAACTCGGGGGACGGATCGAGCAAGTCGAAAAGGCGCATGGGGACTTGGGCAACCGCGCGTCGAACTTGGAGGAGAGGGTGGCCGGGTCGGAGGAGAAGGTCGGGGCGATGAGCATGCCGTCAGGGGAGAAGTTCGTTCCGAAGGCAGTGTGGTTGAAGAACTTCTGTGAGTGCCGCGAGAGGCGCGAGCGGGGGATTTCTCGTCCGCAGGTCGTTACCTTCGTAGATAAGCTCAAACAGAGTCTCGATCCAACTCTTCAGGAACAGTTGGGGGATTTCGGATTGACAGGCCCAGCAAATCGCAAGGTGAAGGTGCGTGTGTGTGTGACGGGAGGGTATGCTGTCGAGATCGCGGGTACTTGGAGGGATTACTTCAGGAGGGAGGACAACAAGTGAAACGGCCGGGTGATCCAGTGCATCGCCGAGCGCACGGAGCACGATCAGAAGTGGTGCGACAGCGCCGGCAGAGCCATGGCTTGGCCTCGCAGCGTCATCTCGGAGGGCGAGGCGCGGCGCTCGTGGATGCCCGATTTCATTCTTCTGGTGAGCGGGGAGATGGGCGACGCCATCCTGGTTGGCCACATGAAGCAGGACGCGTCCGTGGAGTGGTACCCTCATGGCATCGAGCGCATTGCCCGGTTGGGCTTCCAGCCAGCAGCGGCGTCCTGGAGCAGTTTCGGGGCCGGCCCACGGGCCTGTGGGGGCCCAGAGACAGCGATGCAGCAGCATTTTAATTCGTGCGGTTTCGTCGCGTGGAGTACTTGCAGGAAAAGCCACAGTT